CATAGCTCTACGATTTACCACTGAGTTTGTCACGTTCTATAATATATACCATCGACTTTTACTTAACTTCTATGATTTACCATCGCCGTCCAGTTAGTCTCCGTTAGCATGGTACAATTTTGTCCAAATGACAAAAATACCCCTGTGATAAAACTTCCAAAATGTGGACAAAAATTCCAAAATACCATATTATAAACATAAGATTGTAAACATTCAAAATTTGTCCAAAAACTTAAAGTCTGACATTTCAGAATTTTTATCCAAAATTTGAAAGTTTTTGTCTCAGGGGTATTTTGGTCATTTGGATGAAAGTGTACAGTACTAACGGAGACTAACCGGACGGCGGTGGTAAATCATAGAAGTTAAGCAAAAATTGATGGCATATTATAGAACGTGATAAAGTCAGTGGCAAATCGTAGACCCATGACAAACTCAGTGGCATACAATGGATTATCTCTTTTTTTTTTTGCCGTGCCAGGCTTTTTTTTTACAATCGTTTTTTTTCTGCACATTTGGTCTTTTTTTTGTCGCGCCGGGCTTTTTTTAAGTTACAATTGGACTCGCTTTTATCGCTTTTTTTTAACGGACGAAGTAAACATTTTGAACTTTTTAAGATACTAGCAAAAATGCCCGTGCGTTGCAACGGGTGAAAATTTTTCAATGACAATATATGCTTTCCATGTATAATCTTGTCAATGATAATGTTTGTATCGATCGGTATAACTAAGACATATCATAAATAAAACTGGAACATCTTCAATGTAACGGTCTAACCTCGACGATGGCAACCTACCAATGCATGCTTTACAAAAAGAGTTGTATTATTTATATGGTTGTACACATATAATCCGAAATACTCTTTCAATCTCATTCTTGTAACTAATAATAGGATCAATCAAATCCTACATTGTCTGGCATGGTGAAGTCTAGACAAAATAGAGTCACAGTGCATTCTTCTCTTAACAACAATCAAAAATTTATTTATTATTATTATTTTATATGATACGCTATTAAGAATATTAGCTATACTTATCTAAATAGTCTGATAATTGCATACAGAGTCGTGTAGGGTCTCCAATACAGGAGCAACACAATCCATGTACGTAGCAGATGGAAAAAATTAAGGATCCTATCCGACCTAAGCATCAGATCAATTTGATCTCGTTCCGATAAAACCAAGCTCAAGCCCATGCATTCGCACATAAGAACATTCAGCAACCGCTTTGGAAAAACCAAACCAACGTGGTAGACTATACAAACAATACTTTTATAAATGCACAGTTTTTCTTTCTCATGGAATATGATTTTTTTTCTTTTATAATTGCCGAACCGGATTTTTTTTATAAATGCGTGTATTTTCTCGTGTTGGGTTGGACAACTTTTTTGGAGCAGTATTTTTTATAATAAACGGTTTTTTTTTCTCGAGTAGGGTCGGACAATTTTTTTATCCGGTTTTTCTCGCGTGGATTCAGTCAGTTTTCCGATTCGCTTTCTTATTAACAACACTTTTTAACGGTTTATTTTGCAGTGGTTTTTTTATCTCGTATTGAGTCGGATGTTTTTCAAACCGTTTTTTTTACAAACGATGGTTTTTTTTCTCGTGTTGTGTCGGATGGTAGATTATTTTCTCGTGTTGAGTTCGGATGGTAGATTATTTTCTCGTGTTGAGTTCGGATGGTTTCTCGAATCGGATTTTTTATAAATGGCTTTTTTTCTCGGTTTTCTATTTTTTTTATGGGAGTCAGATTTTTTTTCTTTTTTTACATAGGAGGCCATGTTTTCTTTTTTTACGGGAGTCGGATGTGAGAAGTTTTCTATCCCTTATTTTACGGGAGTCATATTTTTTTTACGAACGAAATTTTATCTGTTATTTTACGGGAGTCAATTTTTTTTACGGACGAAAAATTTTTTCACTTTATTTACGGGAGTCGACATGAGAAGTTTTTTTTCCCACTTTTTCAGTAGTCGGACTTTGTTTTTAACGGCAAGACTTATTTTTCCCTTTTTTAAAAGGAGTCGGACTTTTTTTTTAACGGACGATACTTTTTTTCCTTTTTTGCGACAGTAGTTTTTCTTTTCTCTCTTTTTATTTTCAGTCGGACTTTTTTTTTTAACGGACGATGGAAATTTCTTGTACTTTTTAAGTAGTAGTAGATAGATAAGTATTGAGGACGTCCTTGAAGACAATTTCTAGTCTAGAGGTGAGACTTACATCGCTGTGTTCTTTTGTGCAAGTTCCCAACTTTTTCTTTTTCGTTTTTCGCACGCATATGCTTTCCAACTGTTAAACGGAGTGTTTTTATTAAAAATTTTCTATAAGAATTTTGCTCTAAAAACATACTAATCTATTTTTCAAGTTTTTAGCTAATATGTAATTAATTATGTGCTAAACCGTTACATCATTTTACGTGTCGGACCCAACCCATACCGCATAACACAGACGCGTTATGTCCGTCATCTCATTAGAGCAAGTTTAATAGTATAGCCAACTACTAGCTCCAATTTATCTATAGCTAATCTAATAGCTCATTAATACAATAGTTACCTGTAATTATATACTAAACCGTTAATATATGGTCCCACCTCTTATACACTTCCAACGTATTGGCTTTAAATCTGTAGCCCGCTTTTCTTCTCTCTCTTCAATTCTCTTCTCTCCTCCACACGTGCTTATAGCTGACTTGTATGACTTGTAGCCAACTATTGTGCTTATAGCTGACTTGTATGACTTGTAGCCAACTATTGTACTCGCTCTTAGTTATGATTGTGGTTATACTTGGGTTGATGGTAGATGATTTGATGTTGCACGGTGTAATGGAAAGGTTAATGTTGTTTTAAACTTTACTCATTGGGGCCACTAGATCCAGTAGTTGGAAGCAGGGAGAATCCTTTGGTCAAGAGAATTATACATAAGTTCACTTTTATATATAAACTTATGTTGGGACGAAGATAATAATTAATATAGTATATTATAATACCTACTTAATTACATACTCATATGAATAGTGATGGTACAGAAATCTAAACTATTCGATCTCGATCCAACAATGGTTACAACAACTGCAAAAGTTGCACTTGTTGCAGCCACTTCACTGATCCTGATTCAATTCTGCGGCAGATTGCTATGGTTGACGGTGAAAGTTGGTAGCTAGCTAGCTTTTGAATAGAGCGCATACTTAAACAAATCAAAATAATATAGGATTTAATCCTTTGTTTCAAAGGCATCCATAGAAATCCTATAATATTCCTATGTTTTTCCTCCAAATCAAAACGCCCGTACCGTTTCATAGAAAGAGTAGCTTATTTGTTGGCGAAGGTTGGGCTTTACAGTCCTCTTGGGCTTTCTGGGTGCACATGGGCTGAGTTTTGTCATTGCTTGATGGCCCAGTAGGGCAGCAGAGTTTCAACTTTCGTGTAACACATTGATGGATCAATTTTTGGCATGGGATATTTACAAGTTTGGCTCGTCGAAGCCAATGTGACGATGCCTATTTAGGAATTCTACATATTTAACGCTACAAAATTGTCCAATTATAAACCTGTCGTGATTTTCCCTTATTGCCATAATTGCTGGATACTACTATTGGTCTATTTCTCACATATAAGAAATTCATTACATTTTGGCTAAATATTATCAAACTTTCGATACTTTTATATTAACCTAGTTTGAAAACGTAAGAGTGATCTGAATAAGTTTTATTCTCATAATCTCTCTCGTAGATTTTATACTATATTTTATAAGCTCAATATATAATATAAAATTATGATCAAAATCACATCTTAAAATATGCGTCCATGAAAAAGGTTAGACACCATTTTCTTTTCTTACAGATTTTTTTAAAAAGCAAAGCGAGTGTAGTTCAATTGGTTTGGTTAGGTTTCTTACGGTGGAACCAGTCCATCTAGATTCAAGTTCTAGACGTGATAGAGATGCTCGTATTGACAACTAGTTATTCTTTCAGTAATAGACGATATACTCATCGATAATGAGACGCCCATGGTTATTTCGTCAATTTCAGGATAGGCTGGTCTAGTCTTTTGGAAGTGCTCATATGGAAGAGTGTGCGTGTTGTTCATTTGGGTGAGTTTGCCTCGCTGTGAGCGTATGCATTTGTACTATATTTTAAAAAATATAACAAAAGTCTAAAAAAAAGAAAATGGCAAAATGATCAACCTCCTCATGAAAAAAAAGAGAGAATCATTCTATGATCATGTACTCCAATTTAAAGATTTGCCATCGACTTTATCTCCCTCTATAATATGACATCGACTTTATCAACTTTTTTTTTAACAATATGCTATTGGAATGAATAATTTAAAAAAAAAAAACCTAAACTACTCTTAAAGACATAAAGGTTGGGCAATTGATGGACTCACTAGAAATATCGAAAAAGATATGAAACTTTTACATATAAGTGTGGGTATATTTCAAGATTTTAAATTTGCATATATTTTTTTTCGAAAATACAATTTATATTTCATATGCTAATAAAATATTCTTGTATTAATGTTAAATCATCTTTCATATGCCACATAATTATTTTTCTTCTCTGGCTATCTTTTAAGTACATGGTTCCTCTTTCACATACCACATAATTTTTATTTTCAAAATAAAACATGGAAGAAATCTTAATATACACACACAAACTGAACTCATATATTGGGTAAGAAGGCTTAAACAAACTTTCATATCTTTCGAAACTTTTAATGAGCCAATTCATTTTCTTAGAAACACAGTACAAACGCAGGCGCTTACAACGCGCGTACACTCACCCCTATAAACATACACACGGACACCTACCTTTGTAAGCAACTCCGAAAGACTGGGTGACATATCTTGAGCCAAGTAATTGTCAACTTTGAATGACTTGGAGAACATTTTAATTATTTTTTTTAAAACGCATCCACCTTGGTGGTATATTGTAGAAAAAATTTAACAAAGTTCGATGATAAATCATCGACTAAACTCAAAATATGCTTCGAATAGATTCTAAAAAAAAATTGCCATATCACATCCTCTCTCTCTCTTTAACCTCTCTTCCGTCCTACGCCTCCATTGCAGCGTTGCCGCCTCAGCTTCCGCTTCCGCTGCCACCGCCGCCGCCGCCGCCGCCAACCACCCTATCCCAGCCGCCATCTGCACATCCCCAAATCGCTCACTTGAATCTAGCTAGCAGCTGCAGTCTCGAGTAGCCGCATCTATCGATCTGAATCTAGCGGAGGAACTAATGCTCTGTACGTATCCGGGCCGGGGCTCTCCAATCCAGAGCTCATCAGTCCCACCGAGGCTGACAAGTTGATGAACAGCTTCCAAGTGTACTTCAATATGCTTGTGGATATGAGGTAATTTTTTTTATTCCAGCTAAACGAATTATCGCATTAATCCCCGCAAAAAAGATTAAAAATATTATTATCGCATTAGGATTGATAAAGCAAGTGATTCGAGAATTTTTATCGTATCTCAAATTCATGTGGTTGTTCTTTCTGAAGATACATGATGATTCTCTGAAACCCCAATTTTCCTGTTGAAAGTAGTAGTAGGCTATTTCGTGATGCATTTTACTTGAGGATATGAACTAGTAGAAAAATACTAATTTGATTGCAAGGAATAAGAAATGTGTTGTTTTACCTACTAATTTGTGTGCACGAACTAACATAAATAATGACAGTACATTTTGCAACAAGCATGTACAATGTTGTCAAAATAAAGCATGATATTGTTGATGTTTCAGTGTTTATCACAGTAACAAGAAAAAGGAAAAGTAAATATGCCAGTGGAATAGGTATCACAAGCTGTACCCATTACCAAATTATTTTTTCTCTTCAGTTTGTATAACTGTCCCTTTTCTCATGAAGCAACTTCTGCATAATGCTCCGGACATTCAACCATGATGGTCACATTGTATTTGCGCTGATGTTGCGGTCAGTGGTTTCTCTTTTAGAGGGCCAAAGGGCCATTGAAAACAAATCCAGTAATTTTTACAGACCATCAAGAGAAATCCATGAAACTCACTAAAACGAAATGCAGCTTGACAACACACAAAGCACACTTTAAGAAAAAAAAAATGGAGCCCCCGAGAAAAGCAAGACCATACACACTTTCTGCAAGATCAAAACATCAATCAACTCTTCCCCCACCCCCCAAAACAAAGGAACCCAGAAATACAGCCAAATCTATTATTATTATGCGGGGCACTGACTTTCGGGACCAACGGATCACTAGAGAATCACAGTGCATTCTCCTTTTCAGTTATACCTCTTCGACACCATCATCAAGATCAACCTTCCGGAGTTTAAGGTTGTTTTTTCCTTTTAATCTCAATTCGCAACATCTGATGGCTAAACTTCGAAGCTGGGGCACTGCTTCTTCTGTAAATATAACTGTTTTCAACTTGGTTAGCCTAATAATCTCCAGGGTCTTGAGCTCTCTGAAGGCCTTATCATAGAAAACCAATGTCTCGCTAATATATGAATTGTCTAGGAGAGCAAGTGTGACCAAGCAGGGTAGTTTCTCAAGGGACATTATATGATTCTGTTGGAGATTAGTCCTGTAAAGTTTAATAACCGCAAGTGTCCATGAGTTAGAAATCCAGTATGGCATTTTTCCAATATGACCGTCAAGCTTTATGGTTTGGAGGCGTGGAAACTCCAGTGGCTTCTTCCTTTTCTTTTCAGAGATGGGCAGGCAAGCAAGTGTTCCATCACTTTGGCATGCTCCGAGGTACAAATAGGTCAGCGAAGAAGAAATCCTTTTTAGGGTTTTGGAGACTTGTTTGCTGTTGCCAATTGTAATGCCTGCCAATCCAAGGTGCTCCAACCTAGCAAGTTTCCCCAAAGCTTCAATTTCTGAGCCACTGTTGTCCTTGATATCCATGATATCCAGCCTTTCTATGTCCTGCAGGTTCTCTATCCCTTTAGGCACTGTTAGAGCTGAATCAATGCAGCATCGGTTCCTTCTATTGTGACAGGAATCTTCTGTTCTTCTGCTAGCACGAAGGAGTTGTAGCTTGCCGAGTTGAGTGACCTCATTAGGAAGTTTTGTGATCCTTGTCTTTCTCACGTTTAGCAGTTGCAGGAACGGGAGCATGCCTATTGACGAAGGAAGCTCACAAATATTTGTTTTGTAAAGATTTAGGTACCTCAAGTGACACAGTTCTCCTACGCGCTCTATATCTCTTCTAGTGATTTTAAACTCATTGGCATTTGACAAATCTAAAATGCGTACTGCTCTAAGTTTAGAGGAGCAAATAAGTGCAGCAATGGATTCTGATGGTTCGTTGAACACTGTTAGTGACCTGATGCCAGAAAGATCCACATATCTAGCTAACTTCCTGCCACTCCCACCATCAAGTGTTACATGGGGCAAACGCTTTACTAACAAACTTGAACTCTTTCTTGGACCAACAGTGATTGAAAATTTCTCCTCTTGTGAAATCATGACCAGGATATCTCGCATCATGGGATGGATCCAGCATGTCTTAAATGATCTGTTCTTTCTCAGGTTGGATACCATAATCATGCTTCGATCAATGAGCCACAACAAATACCATTTTGCAACAGTCCTAGGGCTCATTCCAGTTCTATCCCTCACAAGCCCTTCAGCTAACCATCGGTCTATTATAGTCTCCACATTGATGTCAGAGTTCTCTGGGAAAATGCTCAGGTATAAGAAGCATGGCTTGAGATAAGGCGGTAGATCTTTGTACCTCTGAATCATTACTTTCCATATATCTTTGAGCATTGGGTGGTTACTGTAGAGTAATGAAGGAAGATCATCACATAGTTTTCCCCACTTGTGAGGAGACTGAGGCAAGTAACTTGGCTACAGTTCCTATAGCCAATTCTAGTCCACGACATTTTCTTAGTATCTGTTCAATTGTATTGAAGGGCGGTTCAAGTACCTTGAGTCTGTCTAGTTCCTTTAGGTCCAGGTCTTCGAAGTCCTCTCTATCTTCATGAGTCATTTTTGAGTTTTCTGTTACAAGAATCAAATTCTTAAAACGCTCAAATGATTCTTGTTTTGATAACAGTTGGACCCAATAAACATGATCATCTGATTCGGTGCAGCCTTTTGCAACATGAACGATCTCTGTTGTTACAATGACCTGGCTGCCACTTCTACTAACATGAGGGAGTGCCTTTTTTATGCTATGCCATGCATGTGTCGTCCACAACTCATCAAACACGACCAAGAACCGTTTTTGTTTGAGTTCGTGTTGAATACCATGGGCTAGCTCATCTTCTCCAGTATATTCAGGCTGACTTGAAGAATCATCAAAGAGTTGCTTCATCATATCCTTGAATACCTTTGTGACATTCACATCTTGCGACAATTCGATCCACACATAGGAATCATATTTTTTATCAGCTTTATGCCTCTTGTATATCTCAGAAACACGAGTAGAGCCTGAGCCAAACATGCCAACTACTGCAGTCACTTTGGGAGCACAGGTTTTGTCGTTTGATGCAGATTCTTCAGGAGCTTCAGCCCATGTAACCACATTTTGCGTCCAATTGTCAGTAGTGCCTTCCACAGAGCGAGACAACACTTTGTTCAAAGCCACCATAAAATTCATATGATTGTCGATGACTTGGTCAGCAATGACAAGATGATAACGCATATTTCTCTCGCTCACCTCAACTATCCTTGATTTGAGATCACTTAACTTGGCAGCAAAAGGACGGAGAGCTCTGTAATTGGTTACATATTGAGACCAACTTGAATTTCTAGTAGTGAGGGCAGTGATTTGTTCCTCTAGGCAATCTTCCATATCATAAGCCAAATCCTTCACTTGCTCCGCCCAAACTCTAGCCATCTGATACTTCGGGGAATCCTCCTTCATGTTTTCAACAACACCAAGAAATGCTCCAATTGTTTGAAGCTCATCCTTGACGAACCTGCTTGTTGGAAACAACTAAATGTTCCTCAGTGTATTCACTTTTTTTTGTAGAACAAACAAAAATAAAAATTTTAGACAACATATAGTTTCCGTAATTTACCAGGAATCTATCTATTATATTATTAAAACAGTCTTGAAAGGAGGCATCACGTTCGCTGTTGAGGCTAGAAATTCCCACATTAATCGGAGAAAAAGAGAAAAAAGCTACACCTTTAGATTATATAGTGCATATAGATTAAAGGGTGTAGATTTGTTGGGCAATATTTCTATTGGTACGAAACAAACTCTATTTATATAATACATAAATAGGAAAGGTATAAGTACGAAACAAAAATTCTAACGAGCATGCATCATGCATGTCAGAGTCCTAATAGTATCTAGGCAAGGGTATGTCCGATTGGGTGTGGACAAAAAGGAAAAAAAAACACAATCCACAGAAGGAAAGGAAAACAAAAAAGATGCACAGTCCACGGAAGAGTATTTTGTAGCTACCAAAAGTTCACTTGCCCAGATAATCTTGCTGCCACTCTAAAATCACGTGCATTCATCCATCTTGCTATCAACACCTACACGATAGATCACTGGAAATAATTCTGTAGCCTACCAAAAGTTTTTGTCAAAAAAGGAAGGAGAGTCCAAGTAGAAATACAATCTAAAAATAGCTGAAATTCGGAATTAAAAAGAAGCAATATTGAACAAGTTTCCATATAAGAACCCAATACGAGATTAATCAAAATTCGAAATAAAAATAAAATAAAATTCAAAATTAGAAAAAAATAAAAGGAGAAAAAAAAGTAGAAATATAATTTAAAAATAGCTGAAATTCGGAATTAAAAATAAGCAATATTGAAAGAAGTTTCCATATAAGAACCCAATACGAGATCAATCAAAATTTGAAATAAAAATAAAATAAAATCCAAAATTTGAAAACAAAAGGATAGTTCAAGTAGGGCTACAATTTTAAAATAGCTGAAATTCGGAATTAAAAATAAGGAATATTAAAAGAAGAGTCCATATAAGAACCCAATACGAGATTAATTAAAATTGGTAGATTAATTAAATTCGGAATAAAAATAAAATAAAATCCAAAATTAGGCAAATAAAAAAGAGAGTTAAAGTAGGAATACAATTTTGAAACAACTAAAAATGAAAATAAAAAATAAAAATATCAAAAGAACACAATACGAAAAAAATAAATTCGGAAATTAGAAAAAGAAAAAAGATTTCAATTAGGAATACAATTTATAAATAACTAAAATTTGTGATAAAAATAAAGACTATTGAAAGAAAAGACCATCTAGAACACACGACGACATAAATTAAGTATCATGGCTATAAAGGAGTAGAGTGCTGGCGGTTGATACGACATATAAAAACTGTTAACAAAACACCAAATAGAATCCTAATGACGATTAAAAGGAGGGACGACAAGCATGCTGTGAAGCAAACGAGCAAGGCGATTGTCGGGACTTATAGAAAGTAAAAAAAAAACTATTGATAATCATATTTGAATTTTAAAATCTCAATGAAAATAAAAAAGAGAAGCAGCGGGCGGGGTGTATAGGAGTATAGTTGCAGAGCTGCCGACAGTTGACGGGACTTCTAGAAAATAAAAAATGAATTCCAACGATAGTTATGTTCAATTTTTAGAATCACAATGACAATAAAGAGTAGGCGGTGGACGGGCCGTAGAGGAGCACAGTGGCATCGTTTGACGAGACTTCTAAAAATTATAAAAAATAAAACCCAACAAGACAATAAACTCTAAAAACTACATGGTTCAATTTTTAAAGGTTCGGAACTTCTAAAAGTAAAAAAAAAACAATGATAATAATGTTCGATTTTAAAATCTCAATGACAATAAAGAAGGGAGGCAGCGGGCGAGCCGTAGAGAACTACAATGGCAAAGCCGCTTACGGTTTGGCGGGACTTCTAGAAAGTAAAAATGAATCCAAACGATAATTATGTTCGATTTTTAAAATCTCAATGACAATAAAGAGAAGAGACAGAGGATGTGCCATAGAGGAGTAAAATGGCAACATTTGACGGGAGGTCTAGAAATTATAAAAACGAAACCCAACGTGACAATAAACTCTAAAAACTATAAGATCCAATTTTTAAAGGTTCCAAGGAGAATGAATAGAAATAGTGGTAGATCGAGCAAGCAAATAAAGAAGGAGATGACATAAGGGGTAGCAACTGATGTGACTTTTAAAAAACAATATAATTAGAAACACGGGGATTATAAGGTTTGGTCTTTCAAACTCTTAAGACAATGAGATAGCTATTTAATAAATTTTTAAGTAAAATCATACTTAAAAAAAAATGATTTTGTTTGGGTGCTAGCCGCGCAATTGCGCGGGCCACCCTGCTAGTTTTATCGAAACAATTGTTCTTATTCCAAGTTCGTTTCCACATAACTTTCCTAATTTTATTGATTCAATTGTTTCAGTGAGCATTGGTCCGCGTGACAGGTGAACACTGAACAGCTTCCCTTCCCTCTAGTCATCCTGAGCCCCAACAAATCCTCCCCACCAGCAAGCTGAATCAAGTTGATTCGCGATTCTATATTAATTTTCTCTGTATCGCTGACCAGCAGGCCCTAATTGTCAGCTCATGCCATTTACTCCTAATGGTGGAAAATAACTGCTAAACCATCCCTAGTTTCTATTCAGTCATTGTTTATATCTTGAGTCATTGGCATGGGGACACAACTACTAGGGGTGGATAACAATTAACAAGTTGGCTTTACTCGGCTCAGCTTGTTAAAACTTGATAGGAGAATAAGCTTGCTAGGCTTGGCCGTTTAGATAACTGAACTGAAAGTAGAGCTCAGTTCAGCTCGTTAAAAACTCGAGCCAACTTGTTATTATGATACCGATACTAATTAGTCACACAATCAAATCTAATGCCTATTATTATTTAGTTGTGTATAATATAACATCTTTTAGCCCTATATATTATCTTGTATACTTATATATGTAGTTATTGTTCACACTAAAACATTATAGGTCTAAATATTTATTTGTATAGTTTAGGGACCTACCTGTCTGCCTCTGAACATAGAAACATTAGGATTTCTTCAGAAAGATAAGTACTCCATCCAGTCAAGAATATTTGATGCCAGTGTCACTAATCGCAGCAGCGCAGGTGTTAAATATTCCTGACCGGAGGTAGTGCAAAATTGATTTAAGATCATGCACAGTGTTTTCCCTTTTTTTTTCTTTTTAGGATCTAATATCTTTTTAAAACTTAGATCGCTTCACCAAACTCCTATTAGTTCGTGATATACCATAATACACATAAATATTTAGATTTGTTTGTTGTTTGCTTTCTGGGAACTGTCTACTGTTATTTGGTTTTCTCTGTAATAACTGTGGACATTCAGGGAACTTTTGAAGATTATCCAAAGTAGGAGTTTGTGACCAACACCACCTTACATATATTGACTCTATATTTTACAAATGCATTTTGTTCTGTACTCCAAATGCGCTATTTTCATAAAGCCATAAGCTAATAAACTTTTACCTATTTCTGCATCATACTGCCTTAAATATTGTCCAATTTTAACCTTTTGTCCATAATGATTACTCAATAATTATTTTTTAAAAGTGACTAATTTAGGGATATTAGAACAAAGCAAAAAAGAAAATGACTGTCACATGCTCTAACAGTGAAATTGTCATAAAAGAGCTAATTGCTCTCATGATCTAATGTGTGTTTTTTCTTAGATAATGGTCTGATGTGTTTTTGTCTTCTCCATTTGTCAGTTCTGTTGGCACATTGCAAGAACCGATGCTCATGTTCATGAAGAAAAGCGAGTGGAGGAGACAGAAAAACTCTATGTGCGGCGCCGGCTCATCCTAATTGATTACCTGGTATTCTCCGGCACGCTCTGCAGCAAGGTGGCCTCCTTCTCCACCAGCGTCGAGATGCCGGCGATCAAACTCCCAACCAAACTCACGGCGATCTCCGCCATCGAGCTCTAGCTAGGCCTCTTCTCTGCAAAGGTGAATTTGCAGCCGCGAGTGAGTTTGTGTTTTGGCAATCAAGCTCCCCTATGGCTGCCGTTGTGCCGTATATATGCTACTGGTTCGTACTGCTATGTCCGGCACCACAGTCCACAAAGGTTTTGTTGCCCACTTTGCCCTTGTTGGGTATATAAGGCTGTGTTATTCCCTCACCTTTCCCAACTACTAAACGACGGTACGTATTTTGCAAACAGTTCTATAGGGAAGTTGATTTTAAAAAATCATATTAATCTATTTTTCAAGTTTATTTTAGCTAATATTTAATAGATCATACACTAAACGCCGCTTTGTTTTGCGTGTTTGGGAGTGAGGGTTTCCAACCCTCCTCGCTCCGCAACTTAGCCTAATTCACTTTTTGTGAGGCCTGTATAGTTTGTTTCAGAATTTTTTTTACCGAAAATTTGTTACGAATTGGAGACCAATTTTCTGTTTAGAATGAGGCAGGATTATAGTTTTTGCTAACCAGCTCAAATATAACCCACCCTGCCTACCCAGTTCCGCCCCTTATGTAAATAAATATGACGATATTGCAGTAAGATTTTGGATGCAGTATCAAATATTTATCTGTTCGATGTAAATATGTAATGTATACATGTAAATTTTCCTTTAGATGAAAATGTATAATTATAAATTTCTTACTAATAAGCGGTCAGGGCAAAACGTCTGAAATCAGGTAGACATAATAGAACTTGGAAGAGCGAAAAGGTAAATAGTTTAGGGCGTACATATTATTGCGATTTTTTTTAAGATTTATATTTTGTCAAATTGCCAATGCCAACCTTTCCATAATTATCTTAAGCTATGTGATTATGACTGACAGCACATCTCTTGATCAAGTTGCGACATGATTACGCATTTTGTTTACAGAGTCAACAGCATCAAGAGAATAATTGTTATTTTTTGTTTGCCATGCATGGTTCAAGAAGTATACCTCGCTCTTCATTGTACCTGCCGTGATGACTTGGTCCAAGGCACTTCAGCGACTTACGTTTCCGTACATCCTCTCTCTCATGTACGATGCAAGTGTCTATAAAAGGATAATGGAATAATTTGACAATAATTAGATCCAAAATAGATATACCCATTCTTAAAAACTAAAATATGTACTAAACTATTCTTCAACTATACTCCCTTCGTCTCAAAATATAAAAGATTTTAGTTGAATGATACACATCTTAGTACTATGATTCATATAGTACTAGTTTAGATTCATAGTACTATAATGTGTTACATCCAATCAAAATTTCTTATACTTCGGGACGGAGTGAATACTTAAAAAACAAGTTGCTCTGCAAGGATGGATCGATCCATCCACGTCGCACGGGTATTACTACTAGATGATTCCCCGTGCTTTGCTGTGAAAATTAATAAGTAAATTTTATTATTTTTTAATAATTGAGCTAAAAGTAAAAATTATATTAGTTATTAACAATAAATAAAACTGGTTTGTCATACTATATTAAAAGAGAAATAAATATGAGATTGTAGATGAAATATGATATCCCGCACTTTGATTATATGGATGAATATATATTAATTATTATAAATATGATGGATATATATATATGTTAAAAATATTATGAAAAATAATGTGAAGGAAGATGATTGGATGTTGATTTGTAGAATTCAATAAATTATAGATAATGTTGCATGCTTGCATAAGTTTTGTATGCAATTATTGTTAGTGGATGATGAGGTGGCATATTTGCATGTTGAACTTTTAAAATTAGTGGGTTATATCTATACAGAAAGATAGGATTTGAGAGCCAATTGGACTGCTTGCATCTAGGCCCTTGCGCCTGCGGCTTTTGCACCATTGTGCATTGCCTACTGACTAATCAGTAATCACACCTCGCTGGAGAATAAGGAAAAATTTTAAAATGAAAGTAAAGAATTAGAAATAATTTTGTAGAAATCTTAAGATGAATATGACATACTGTGGGTTAAATTGGCCTGACCACATTGGTGTCCTATATTTGTAGAAGACTGCAGTGTACGGGTGGACACTGAACTCTCAAAAGATAAGTGCCCTATATAACAACCCAGGAGGAACCTAGCTAGATGATATATATATCCGCATAAGTTAATTTAAGATCGCCCGTGCACTTTACTCTTTATAGAAAATAAAAACATTAAATAACAGAAATAAAGTAAAAGATTGGATCAAACTTTTGTGATATTGAGAACTTATTTTTTAGAATATGTATTATCAGGCAACACTACAAGTTCTAAGGAATTATGTGCAAAAATTTTAGGATTGATGAAGATCGCTGCAATTTTGGAAAACATACATTTTCTCTTTTTTCCCCAATAGCACACGTAATCATTTGTTGAAGTTAAACAGTGCAGCTTAAAACAAACAAAATCATTAAGAATCATAGATTACTATCCTAATTCTATTTTGATTCGTCTCAACCTTCGACAAACACATCCCTCATTTATTCATCTAGGTGTCCTTTTGAAAGTATTATTTCTATGGGAATATAAATAAACTAAGTCGTGTAGTTTCTTTCTTTTTCGCAAATTTTCTACGTTCGAGATGAAGCTTCTGGCCAACTCTAGCTGTGTGAAGCCTGTGTACCCATCTCCTTCTAACGAACTCAGCCTAATCCTATGGGTGTCTAAGGCTTTGTTGCCCACTTTGCCCTTTGTTGGGTATATATTTTGGGACCGTTAAGATTGTAGCTAAAATAAACTTTAACAAATTTTAGCAATGCCATAATTTTAGTAATATTACCAACTTATCAAAATTTTGGCAGGATTTCTTATATATTTATCAAAGTTTAGCAAGAAATTAAATGCATATATAATTTTGAGAACTTTACTTAAAAAATTAAAAAATTGTATGGTTTGAAATGGCATTAATTTGAACATTTTTTTGTTAGGCCTGTATAGTTTGTTTCAGTTTTTTTTTACCGAAAATTTGTTTCGAATTTGATATTAACTTTCGGTTTAGAATGCGGCAGGATTATAGTCTTTGCTAACTAGCCCAAATATGACAATGTAAATAATAAGGTACTTATGGCTTATATCAACGTTTTTATTTGCTTATTGCAGTAAGGTTTTGGATACAGTATCAAATATTTATCTGTTCGATGTAATGTATACATGTAAATTTTCCATTACATGAAAATGTATATTATAAATTTCTTACTAACAAGCGGTCAGGGCAAAAGGTCTGAAATCAGATAGGCATAAGAACTTGGAAGGGCGAAAAGGTAAATAGTTTAGGGCGTACTCCCTCCGGTTCTATAATAATTGACGTTTTGAACAAGGTTAAGGCTAAACTTTTATAACTTTGACCATCAATAACTTTAAAAATATTTAGTTTAAAAAGACTAGAACAACATATATAAATTTATCTTTCAAAGCAATATAATAAAAGTAAACATGCATTTATTTATTGTATATATTATAATAGAAAAATAAGGTCAAAGAAATATTTATAGACCGTGTTATTATTTAAAACGTCAATTAAAATGAAACCGGAGGGAGTACCTAGTATTGCACAAATTTGTTTTAAGATTTATATTACGTCAAATTGTCAATGCCAACCATTCCGTAACTGTCTTCATCTCTTTGATTAGGAATGACACCACATCTCTTGATCAAGTTGCGACATGGTTACGCATTTTCTTTATAGAGTCAACAACATCAAGAGAATAGTAATAATTTGTCATCAAAGAGATGCAAATACTTTTTGTTTGCCATGCATGATTCGAGAAGTGTATCTCGATCGCTCTTCATTGTACCTGCCGTGACTTGGTCCAAGCCACATCAGCGACTACATATCCGTACATCATCTCTCATGCATCGATGCAAATACTACAGATAAATTATTTTTCATACGGGAGAGATGTTTATAAAAGGATGATGAAATAATTTGAAGATAAACTAGAATCCGGGAGTCGGGCATGCGCGGAGCTACAGCACGAAGGAACGAAATGAGCGGTGACACGGGCGTCTGATTCACTGCTACAATGATGATTTTTCTGTACGAGACATTATGATTTTTTAAATGGATCATAACTATAACTAGGGGCGTCAGTAAAAATCGAACGGTATTTTTGCGGACGGCTTCTTAAAACGCCCGTATAGAAAAATCGATTTTCTTATACAGGCCTCTTTGCATGTGGCTCACTTAACCGCCCGCATGGAAAAATCGATTTTTTTTATACGGGCATATTAAGGAGTCGTATCAAAAAATAAAATTTAAAAAATTTGAAACTAGTTTATCTCACTCATATGAACTTTAAATTGGATAATTCTTTTTCCTAAATGTTTCTAAAATCATGCTCTATCATGTTGCTGTGTTCTTACTGCTATTATTTTTGCCATTTTTTAAACTTTGTTTTATCAATTAAAAATTTGAATTTTAAAACTTCAAATAGTATTTTAAAGCAGTAAATGATTTCAGCTGAAAAAATCATCAATAACAAAGTTGTATAACTCATCAAGATATATAACTTCTATTTTAGTCATTTCTTCATCCGACAAATAGTTTTATAAACTATAAGAGAGATATGTAAATTTTGTGAAAATGTTACTATCACTTTGTCGGATGAAGAAATAATCTTGATGAGTTATACCACTTTGTTATTGATGACTTTTTCAGTTGAATTTATTTAGTACTTGTAATAAATGTTGTTTGATATTGTTATAATTTAAAATCCAAATTCAAACTGTTTAAACAAAGTCATATAGAAAAATAACCAAAACAAAAGTTATACATCTTGATAAGTTATACAACTTTATTGTTGATAATTTTTCCATGTAAAATCATTCACTACCTGAAAAATTATTTTAATTTCTTATATTTTAAAATTTAAATTTTATATAGTTCAATCAAACTCGGATGGAGAAATGACCAAAATAAAATTGGTATATCTCAATGAGTTCTACAACTTTTTTTTACAACTTTTTTCACACGAGTTCATTTAGTATGATAAAATTCTATTCGAAGTTTCAATATTTTAAAATTAATTTTTCCCTCCTCCCTTCAAATTATTTCATCTCCTCTTCTCTCTCCCCTCCTCTCCTGATATTTTAACTTTCCCCATCCTTATCCTATTCCTCTCCTCTCCTCTCCTCTCAGCCTCTCACTCTTTCCTTCTCTCCTCTCTCTCTCTTACCGACGGCGAGGCACGGATGGGGAGGGGCGGCTGCTGCGCGGTACGGTGAGCGGGAGCGGCGCGTCAGCGGTGGGCTCGGCACCGGCGGCAGCGGCCTCCCTTCCCCGACCTCCCATCCGGTCCGGCAGTGGCGGGCTCGGCAACAGCGGTGGCCTCCCTTCACCGACCTCCCATGCGCGGCAGCGACCTCCCTTCCACGACGGCGGTGGGCAATGCGACAACGACAGCGGTGAGCGGCGGGTCTGGACGACGGGCATGCAGCGGGCTCAGCACAGGCAGCGGCGGCCTCTCTTCCCCGACCTCCCATCCGGCGCGGCAGCGGCGGGCTCAGCAACGGCGGCGACCTCCCTTCACCGACCTCCCATGCGCGACGGCGGCGCGGCGGCGGATCTGGACGGCAGTGGCGCCTCCCCCCCCCCCCTCAACGCCGCCGTGGCGGCCTCCTCGGGCGGCGCTGCCCCGCGCCGATTTGGTGCTGCCGACGACAGCGGGCGGCGGGGGCGACGGATCCGGCGACGGGCTAGGGTTTGGGGGTTT